ATATATATATATATATATATCCATTGCTAAAGTATCTGGAACTTCATCAAGTACTTATTAACATCATCACTATTTGTGATAGTCTAATATTAAAACACTATGCACTTTTATTTTTTCAGCTTGTCAAAAATACAGGAATATCCATTTTATGCCTAATCATCTAGCAAGTCAAAGTCTGACATAGAAACAAGGCAGCTCACTTTAGATAACTACTACTGACACTCATTTTCTCCAGAACAGTTTAAGGAACTGATAATGCTTTCCTTTTTTTCAAAGTAAACAATAGGAGATGCTGGCAACTTCCCTGTGATGACTCTTTTGGTATATACACATCTCTATTGTCTTGCTTAATTCTCTTATTAGGAACATTTGCATTAAAAAAAGTAAAAACAATAACAGTATCTAACGTATTAAGCATTTGCCAAGATATTGTACTAAATGTTTTACCTATACTGTCACATTCATACTCCAAAACACATCTCAAACCCATCCACTTCTCTCCATCCTATTGCTAACTACACGGCCCAACTACAACCTTATTGCCTAGATAACTAACTACCTTAGTCCAATGATCTCCTTATTCAGACTCTCTTCCTTTTCCAAATCATTCTTCACACAGTAGTCAGAGTGATATTATAAAAACATTAACTTTTTTTTTTTTTTTAAATAAACCCATGCCTTGAAAGGCCCTGATAGCTCTCAAATCTCAATGAGAGTTGTAATATCATGGCATGTATTCTGAACTGTATTTTTTAATAAATCTTACCCCCCCCAAAAAAAAAGGCAACACTAAAAAGGCATTTTTCTGTGCAACTTTCTTTTAAAATGTATTTTAAATGGTATGTCACAAACCTATAATAAATGTACCATAATCTATTTTCCAGGAGCTCTGATGGCATAGTGCCTAAGGCATTTGACTGCTAACCAGAATGCTGGTGGTTCAAAACCACCAGCCACTCCTTAGAAGGAAGGTTGGGCAATCTACTTCCATAGTGATACTGCCCCAGAAACCCAGAGGGGTTGCTATGAGTCATATTCGACTCCACGGCAGAGTGTGTGTGTGTGTGTGTGTGTGTGTGTGAGAATCTATATTCATTTCCAAGTTTTCCTAACTATAATTAAGATGAAACCAAAACAACCAAACCCAATGCCACTGAGTTGACTTCAACTCACAGCAACCCTATAGGACAGGGTAGAACTGCTCCATAGGGTTTCCAGGGCTGTAAATCTCTATAGAAGTAGACCACCTCATCTTTCTCCCATGGAACAGAGGGTGGGTTTAAATCCCAACCTTCTGGTTAGCAGCCAAATGCTTTAACCACTATGCCACTGGAGTGCTATAATTAAGTTACCAATTTAATTACCAGAGTAATTAAGTTACCAACTTTTTATTACTGTGAATATCAATAATGTGATTATTTCTCTAAGGTAAATTCCTTTACATGGAATTAGTAGATCAAAGGGCATAAACCTTTTAAAGTTTTTTATAAAATAAGAAGAATAAGTGATCTCCAAAAACTGTTCAAGTATGTATTTCCAATTAGCAGTAAGAGAGGTCCTGCTTTCTTTCATACACCCTCAATATGGAATTATCTTCATTATGAAAATCTTAGTCAATATGACAGGCAATGAGTAGCAAATCCTTTAAATTTACTTTCCTATGCTTATTAGTTGAGTTTGGAACATTTGTGTTTTTTTATTGGCCACTTGTACTCCTTTATAAACTCCCTTTTGATTTCCTCTCCCCATTTTTCTACTGGCATATATGTGGTTTATAAGAATTCTTTCTAAACTGAACACATTAATTCTATAACTGCATTGTTGAATACAGTAGCTACAGTCTACTGAGCACTAAAATGTGACTGATCCTAACTGAGACGTGCTATAATTGTAAAACACACTCTGCATTTTGAAAACTTATTACAAAATAAGAATATAAAATACCTCATTAATTTTTATATTGATTATAAATCAAAATATTTTAATATATTGGGTATAATACATTATTAATTTCACCTGTTTCTTTTTACCTTTTTAAATATGGCTACTAAACCAAACCAAAACCCACTGCCATGGGTTGATTTAGACTCATAGTGACCCTATATAGAACTGCCCCATATGGTTTCCAACGCTGTAGATCTTCACGGAAGCAGACTGCCTCATCTTTCTCCTGCAGAGCAGTTGGTGGGATGGGACTGCCGACATTTTAATTAGTAGTCAAATGATGTAACCCCTGCACCACCAGAGTTCCTTTATATGGCCTCTGAAAAAAACAAAACCAAACCCACTGCCATTGAGTCAATTCCAATTCACAGCAACCCCCACCGGGTTTCCGAGGCTATAAATCTTTATAGAAGTAGATTGCCACATCTTCCTTCTGCAGGGTAGCTGCTGGGTTTGAACTGCCAACCTTCTGGATAGCAGCCAAATGCCGTAAGTACTACACCACCAGCGCTCCTTTAATATGGCTACTAGAAAACTTAAAATTAACACTCATGGCTCACATTTTTATTTTGGAAAGCACTGCTCTAGAATATTGTCTTCCTTTTCGCTATTTAGCATGAGTCTGTCATACAGGAGTTTCTCATTCTTGTTATCATTGTTATGTGCCATCGAGTAGGACCTGACTCATAGAGACCCCTCCTTGGGTTTCCGAGGCCGTATCACTGCAGAAGTAGATTGCCCCATCTTCCTTCCGAGGAGAGGCTGGTGGGTTTGAACCGCCAGCCTTCTGGTTAGCAGTCAAGTGCCTTAGCCACTATGCTACCAGAGCTCCCAGTGAAAACATATATATATATTTAAATTTTTTGTAGTAATAAGCATTCCAAAGGACTCTAGAGTCATTCTTACTTGTAAGATAGGTAATTACTACGTGTTTCACAGATGGACAAGACAATTTTCAAGGTGACAGCTATAAAGAATAGGGATTATAAATGACACTATTTTAATTCTTTTTTTTTTTTTTTACCAATGCTTAAAGGACAATTTAGACCAAATTTAATAGCCACTACATTTAAGGGGAAGGAGCCCTGGTCGCACAGTGGTTAAGTGCTTAGCTGCCAACTGAAAGGATGGTGGCTTGAACCCACCAATAACTCGGTAGGAGAAAGATGTGTCAGTCTGCTTCCATAAAGATTACAGCCTTGGAAACCTTAAGGACAGTTCTACTGTCTTACAGGGTCTCATGAGTTGGATTCAACTCACCAGAATCAGGTTTAGTTTGGTTTTGGTACTTTTACATGTAGAATGTCAAAAATGCTTGGTCTAACAACAGATGGATCATGATCAAAAACAAAAAAAGACCATGGAAAAGAACTTCAAATTCTTAGATTCCAGACTTACTAGGTCCACTGAGACTGAAGGAACCCATAAAATTGTTGCAATGAGATATTCTTTAAACGTTTAACCAAACTATCCCTGTACTAAGTTTAGCTCACTTAGTAAGGAGCAAATGCCTCGAGTATTATGCTCCCTTAAAAAATTATATATTATAAGGGCAAACTGACAACAGTAAATATACAGGACAGATGAGCAGACTAGGGTAACAGTGAGTCTAAGTTAAAGGTGATAAAACAATTTGAGTAGAAATACTGAGACTGTTGATACCAAGCAAAGAATGTAACCAATGTTGCTAAACCTTACCCAGAGAAATTGCTGAATGGGTGCATGAGTTCTTCTACACGTTTTTCCCTAAAATATTACAAACTGCTTGGTCAATACGAATAATTATTGTAAAATCATGGAGATTTTGGATTACAGACCAGCAGAATGATACATTTTATTCTTAAGGGAACCAGGTATACTGTCAATGTGGAAAAATGAAAAAGTTGTACTTTTCCATCACTACCAGAAAGACCAAAGAATCAAGCCAGATCAGCTGCCAAGAGTAGATTCTGAATCAAGATGACCCTGTGTGTTCCAGAGTAGAACTGTGCTCCACAGGGTTTTCAATGGTTGTGATCTTTCAGAAGTAAATCACCAGGTCTTTCTTCTGCAAACAAATGACAGGACTACATGCTAACTGATTTGCACAAAGGAGTTACTATGGCTTAAAATTACTTATGAACTTGAATGAATGGACCTTCCAACTTCTATAGGGAAGTCACATACATGCTACCAGTTTCTTTATATATGATTTTGGGGCCAAATTTCTGTCAATATTCTTTGCATCCTGAAGAATCTAAAGGATTAGAGTAGGGATGATTTGGTTCTGTCTCTTCTCTTATTGTTCCCATCAGTTCTCGGCGTCAGGCTTGACAGCCTCTGCTGCTTTGAGAGCAAAAAAGAGGTAAGCCTGATTAGGACACAGATGTTTAATGTTATTTTGGAAACTTGAACAATTTTAATCAATTCAAGAAAGAATTTTGAGGGAGGAGGATGAAAATCATCGTCAACCACCTTTTCTGGACTACAACGCCTTCTCACCAGCTTTTTAAAGGATTGTGCAACAAAACTGAAGAGTTTTTCGGTCCAAAACCAGGCTCATTCAATGATTGTGGGATGGTCATAGCTTTATACTTCATCAGAAAGACCCATGAATGTTGAGTTGCACCCTCCTTCCTACTTTTCAGGAAATTTAACAAGTTGGGAGTATGAGGAAAGGCACAGGGCAAGAAAATCTACTTAGCCAAAAGTGCTCAATGAAGGTGAGTCAGAGAACTCAAAAGATTCTAGAACTCTGTGAAGTCCGTATCTCCCACAGGCTGTGGGTCACCGCCCCGCACGGCGATGCACATGAAACGTTTGGTGATACAAGGCTTCTTAAGTCCAACCTAGGTCGCAAGCAGCACCGGGGGACTTGCCAGGGCCATAGGCAGGATCGAGGTAAAGAAGGCCCGTCAGGAACCCCTCGGCTGGGCGGGCTGAACCACTAAGGCGGAGGTCCGCGGGGAAGGTTCCCGGGTTGAGGAAGGCGAGGCATCAAGCCTGGCCTGGCTTTCCAGACAGGTTTCCGCGGAGGCGCGGCTGGTGTAGGACACTCACCCTGACGGTCGCAGGAGCTGCGGGCCGCCGCCCTGCAGCCCAGACGGAGCCGGCACCAAAAGGACCAGCTACATCTGTGGGCCGCAGAGGCGGCGGCCAAGCCTGGTAACATCCTGGCCGGGCGAAGGCTGGTACCCGGACACCACCTCCTGCCTCCGCGCCGGCACCGGCACCAACTACCTCCATAGACTAAATACCCACGGCCACAGACGCCTGCGCCGCCCCCGGCGGCCTGAGCGACCCGGAAATGTTAACGTCACACCACCACCCACCCCACCCCCCGCGGAGGGAGCGGAAGTTACGTAAAGCGCTGGCGCGACCCGCGAAGCCTTTTCTTAGTTGACCCAGCGGGGAAAAGGGATAAAGTGGGCGCAGGTGAAATTTAGTCACCGTCTTGTCTTTTTCCAGAGCTATTTCTTTTGTGCCTGTTGGACGTCATCCCACAAATTCTTTGCATCTGAATGGCCAGAAAAGCCCTGAGAAAATTGACGTTTCGAGGTTCTATCTACTGTTTTGTTTTTCTCCTGGCTCTATGCGTGGGCCATGGTGTTAGAACTGAAAGGAAAAACGAGAAGGAAGAACAATGAGTATGTATTCTCAGCCTCTCCCCGGAGCCGACCTGGATCACCCCCACGAGGAGGCTACGTTATTCTGTGAACCTCCATTACAGCACATCATTTTCCTCCTTGTAATACCTTCGTCTTAGTTATCTTTTGCTGCTGTATTAGAACAACTATAAATGAGTGGCTTTAATGAATTTATTTTCTCAGTTTTGTTGTTGTTAGGTGCCGTGGAGTGGGCTCCCCCTCATAGCGAGTCTGTGTGCCATAGAACAAAACACTGCCGGGTCCTGCGCCAGTCTCAAAATGTTGGCTATACCTGAGCCCGTCGTTGCAGGCACTGTATCAATCCATCTGGTTGAAAGCCTTCCCCTTTTTGGCTGACCCTCCACTTTGCCAAGCATGATAACGTCCAGGGAATGTCCCTTCTGACAAATGACCACGTAGGTGAGACTAAGTCTGGCCATTCTCTCTTCCAAGGAGCATTCTAGGTGCACTTCAGGACAGATCTCTTCCTTCTTCTGGCAGTCCATGGTACTTTGAGTATTCTTTGACAAGACCACAATTCGAAAGCATCAATTCTTCTTCTGTCTTCGTTATTCATGGTCCAGCTGTCACATGCATATGAGGTGAATGAAAATACCATGGCTTGGGTCAGTCACACCTTATAGTCTTCAAAAAGACAACTATGATCTTCAACACTTTAAAGAGGTCTTTGGCAGCAGATTTGCCCAGTGCAATACAACATCTGATTTCTTGACTGCTGCTTCCATTGGCGTTGATTGCATGATACCTGTATGTAAATATCCATTAGCTGTTAATTCTTTCTAAGCAAAAGAGAATGGCTAACTTAATGCTTTGAATTCTTAAAGTGGTCCATGATTTCAACTATCATTTTTATTCAAGATGAATCAGAGTTTCTTGCGTTTTAGTTTTATTTTGTACAACAGGATTTTTATTTTTGTATTCTTAGAGAAAGGTTTATCCTTTCTGTCATAAGAAACTTTTCTTAAATTTTTTTGCTAGATTGTTAAAGTAATTTTAGTTACAAGCTACAAGGTGGGTGGAACACAATGCTGGTGCATAGCAGAGTCTTGTGTGTCAGTTTTTTCCTACCCACCTTTCCTCTAGTATAGTTGAGGAGTAATTTGACTTGACGTGGACCCTGTATTAGTTTTTATAAACTTCCAGTAGCTTTGACTTGCCAAATATGTTTGAAGAGAATAAAGTAGATTAGGTCATTTTATCTTATTTAGCCCTCAGAATACTGTTATCACATAACAGTCTCCACGAACTTGGATTAAAACACTTGCACTTTGTCATGATGTTATCATGTAATCTTTTACATCAACATTTGCATCCTATACCTGCCCTGCTGGATCATCTTCAGTTTTCCCCAAGTGCTAAATATAAGGTAGTGTCAGTTTTAGAGCTCCTTGAGGGGAATATCCTTGGACCCTAAATTCTTTGAGAATTCTCATCCTTACCAAGACACTTTGCTTTTATGCACCATTTGAGACACATTGAGCAGCTGCCTGCATGTACAAAATAAGTAACAATCCAGCATCATGGAGCTGATTTTCTATTGCAAGAGACATATTAAAAACTAAACACACAGATCATTTTAAATAGTGAAGTTCTTATTAGTTATAGTAAGATCATTTACTAACTGCCAGGCACTTTACATGCATTAGCTTATTCATAACATTTTAGCAAATTATCCATGAGGAAACTAGGGCACCAAGAGTTTGTTCTTAAAAACACTCTTTAAGTCAGTGGGTTTGGTCCTTTCAGAGAGGTCTTTCAAAACTTCAATGACAATGCAATCCTTCATTGTTTTCTGAAATACAGGTCAAAAAAGACATTCCATAGATTCATTTACATTATTGGAGATGTGAACAAGTCAAATTGCCTGAGTTTTATGAGGATTGGTGATATAAATAGATGCCTAAATACAGGGAAGTATTAGGTCAGATAGATGGAAATAGAAGTAGGAAAGAGGTGAAGTGTCATCTGATTACCACAACTCTAAAGAAGTTCCAACATCTTTTGGAAATTTGCTTCTAAAATTATTCCATGGTTATGTCTTATTTGTAGTTTGGAGGGAATAATAATTCTGATCATGAGACAAGCTTGGCTGGTTATCTGGGAAACAGCCCATGATAAGAAGTTAGTGGCTTGATCATGATATTTACCAAGAACACAGAATTTTTAACACAGATTAATTTGTTGGCTTCATGTTCTTTTTTCCATGTCTACTGGAAATGTTTGACATTTTTCCATGTCCCCTGGAACACTTCAAGAAGAAATGGCTTATGCACAGATAAAAGGGAGATGTACACTCCCTGCTGTACAACCATAGTTAGAAGGTATCATGTCTGCACAGACACATTTTGGGTGTATAGGCAAACTTCTTTTGCATTAAGCAAGAATCAAAAACAATCTTCTGAAATGTGATGGTGATAGAGTTTCTGGCCAGGATGCTAATCCTCATCTCTATTTCTCAGAGAAGTTGAGTGATTTTCTCAAGATAACTCAGCAAGCATGTGATAAAGCATAGGATCTGACTCTTGGCCCTCTGGCTCAAATCTGCATGTATGTGCTTGAGTGAGTGTTACAGGGGAGGGGCACTGGCAGGGTGTTCTGGTTACCTAGTACCGCTCTGACAGATATATACCACAAATGGGATGGCCTGAAGAAACAGGAGTTTATTCTTACAATTTGAAAGCTTTAAGTCCAAGTTCAAAGTGCCAGGCTCTAGGGGCTGGGTGAAAACCCCTCAACCTTTTGGGCTTTAGCTCTGCCTCATGCTCCCAGCCCACTGAAGCTAGAGGCAGGTATCTCTTCACTCAGGCAGCTAGTGGCTGCTGAGGCTAACAAGCCCAAGGTTGACAAAATGGTACAGTCCCGATGTTACCAAACCACACGGCAGGCCATTGATTCAAGTCCATTGAAAGTCCCAGGGTCGTCAGAGCATAGCAGGCTGCTAAACAACTCAGCTACATGTAAGGCTCAAGTATGCCATAAGCTAGAGATCGTTCCCAAAACTGCTGCTTATATACGGGAAGCTGACCACATACCTAAAGGCAGCTACTCAGCTGCTCACAGTAGATACCACCATAGAGCTGATTGCCACTCTCATCATGGGGAATACTATATCCAGCTACCTAGCCAACCTGACACACAAACTTAACACCACACAGAGTTTGATTGTTGTTATGAATTTTCCCTCACATTATTCTTTCTATGAGATTAGTTGTTTTGGCCCTTTCCCCTCACAATTGTTGTGTGAAAGGCATGTAATGCTCCAGTATAATTAAATTTAGCTTCACCTTGACACTTCTAGCCAAGAATGAAAACAAGAATGAGTTCTCCAATGATGATCATATTCCTGGGTCCTAGTTCTCATTCAACTTGTCCTCGTTTCTTCAATAACACCCACTTCTGCAATTCACCTGTTGTTGTTTGCCGTCCAGTCGGCCCCCGACTCATAGCGACCCCTCCTTGGGTTTCCCCTCCTTGGGTTTCCGAGGCAGTATCACTACAGAAGTAGGATTGCCCAACCTTCCTTCCGAGGAGTGGCTGGTGGGTTTGAACCGCCTTAGGCACTATGCTACCAGAGCTCCTGCAATAAAAAAGTAATCCTTCCCCCCTTTTCTCAGAGATTAGTGAACAAGACAAGGATTATAGCTGGGAAAACCAAATTACTTAAACATTCCTGGAGGCAAGAGACTGAACTGTTTGATAGCATTTATCCTTGAGAAAAATAAACTGGGAACTGAAAACAGTATTTAGTTTCAGGGGACAGCAGCATTTTTAAAGTTAGTCAATGTAACTTCTTTCCAACAAAAATATAAGTTTTTATTGAAGTATAATCCTTAGAAAAACATACAAACTTTATGGGCACAACTCTAAGAAGTTTCACTAACTGGTACTATCTTGCCTTTTTATATTAATCATTAATGGTGGGTGTTTTAGTAATCTAGTGCTGCTATAACAGAAATACCACAGAGGGATGCCTTTAACAAACAAATTTATTTCACACAGTTTAGGAGGCTAGAAGTCCAAATTCAGGAGCCAGCTCTAGGCAAAGGCTTTCTCTTGAGGCTCCGGAGGAAGTTCCTTGTCTCTTCTGAGCTTCTGCTCCTGTGCAGTCTCCAAGCAGCTTGGTATCTCTCCTCCCACATTTCTGCTTCTCTGGCTTGCTTGTTTAATTTCTTTTTTATCTCAAAACACTAAGATGTAAAACACTAATCCTGTCTAATTCACATAACAAAGACAACCCATTCCCAAACAGGATTATACCCACAGGCATGGAGGCTAGGATTTACAACATATGTATTGGGGGGACACAATTCAATCCATCACAGTGGGTATGGAGTGGTATGCCATTGTAATTTTTAACTTGCATTTTCTTGATGATAAATGAAATTGAATGCTGTAACCCACCCCATGCTCTCACAGCTCCTGCAATTAGTACCTTTCCATGGTAACTCCCTTTAAATTGTTTGGAACCAGAAGTTGAAGCAGGAGACAAAAGTATACCATTTCC